TTGTTTGTTAGTAGCTTAATGAGACTCAGCTTCTTTGATCAGTTATACATGGTTATTTTGGTAATTGCTTAATGATATAAAAAATGACTTATTTAGTAAGGTTTTAGTGAGAACTTTATGTAGAAAGACAAGTTTTTTTCCCTAAATATGTTCCTCCAAATTAAAAAAAAAAAAAAAAAACTTCTTCCATCTATAAAGACAAATCAATCCATATAGATAGAACAAAAAACATAACTGGTAGTTGATAAGTAGCTGATGACTGATAATTTAGTTGATGAATAAATCATGGTTGATAAAAACTAGCTGATAAGCATGTAAAATGATCAAAAAAGATGTAACATCCTGATTTTTGTCCCAGTTGAAGAAAGCGTTGAACCGAGTGATTCAATGAAGAAAAACTAATTGTGGAGTTCGACTATAGTGCCATGAGATAGTGGCATATGTCACAATGACATCGATGGTACTAAGGGTATGATCATCTCGACTATTGTGCCATGCGGTTGTGACATATGTCACAATAGCACCCATGGTACTGAGAGTATAGTTGATAACTCTTATTTTTAAGAGTTATTTCCTTTTTATTTACTCCCTTTTTGCTTTTATTAAATGCCCAATTTTGTTGTTTTTCCCTTTTATTCCAAAAAGTTTTAAAAAGATGATGAAACACTGAGGAAGAAGTATTATTCCAAAAACCTGTATTTTTTTGACAGCACTGCCCACTGTGGCACCACTGTGGGAAGTCTACCAGCCTTGTTACTACTTCTTGGGAAACGTGCAGCTTGAAGATCTCCCAGATTTTTTTCCTCCAGCTGTTATGAGCTGTCTTCCATGCTCTATTTTATTTTCTTTTGTATTTTTCTTTGCTTGTACTAATTGCCCAATTTGTAATGATTGGGTATGGCCTTCCTCCCTTCCTCTCCCCTATATAAAGAGGCTTGGGAGAGCCATTTTTGGGKGTACCATCTTGGAGCAACTTGTGCTCAAAATATCATCTTTGGTACCAACTTGTAGATATTGCTCTCATATATATATAATTAGTAATTAATCCTTTTTAATTTTATGTCTTTACTGTATTGTCTTTAAATTTATGTATTTAATTTATGTCTTTAAATTCATGTATTTAATTTCTTGTCTTTAATTTTATGTCTTTAATTTCTTGCACTTATAATTTAGTTTTACATTAATGCAATTCATATTCCAGTATTACTTTATGTCTTTTATTATTTTTATTATGTCTAGCTAAATTACTCGTATGGGTGTGGGTGTGAGTTTAACTTAGGATGTTTTTATAATATTTGGGTGTTTTTATCTTTTATCACTTCGTCACTTAGTCACTTAAAACGGCACTTAAAATGCGGATAAGCTGATCACTTTGACGTGTTAATATTAGATCTTAGACCCAGAGATGGGCGGATCCGAAATACGGCTTAAGGGATGCACATTGAACTCGAGAGGGTCTTTGAATAATTACGTGGAGACGCGAATTTTGCATGCATTTAGCTAGGGGTTAAGCAATATGTATTTCCATCGCAAAGAGATTTGGGTGAAAATTTTCATTCCTTTTACTTTTTAGCTAAATCGGTAAGTTTCGAAGTGATAAATGTAAAAACTTTCTGGACTTTTATAAGGCCCGGTTATAAAAGTT